AGAGGAGCCGTCCACCACCATTTGCCTTTTGGTCCATCAAGGTGTTGTGCTCTATCAAGAAAACTGCTCTTTTCACATCACATTATAAGGTATGCTTAACCTGGATCAGACTTACCAATGTTTTAAAGATCCTGGGTTCAAATTACAGTCTGCCCTTGTGAGGCACTTAAGGCACTACCTTGTCAAATGTTTGAGAAGTACTTTAATAGAAGTATAATTCACCCTGTCCTACTCCAGCACAGGGTGAGTGCAAGAATAAGGCAGGGTAAACAAAACAGATAAAAACACTCCACTGAGAGCGTACAGCAAGATCAGCTTGATTATTCCTATTATGTTCAGCTCCAATTCTCAAGATGTTGCTAATGTATCTATTCAGAAACATACAATAAAAAAAACACTCTTCCAACTTTGCTAACAACCCTACAAATTGGGTAATTTTGAGTTTATTTTAGAGCTTTTTCTTGAGGTACACCAAATGCCAAAGTACTTTACTGTTTGAGGTTTTCCAAGCAACAAATGATCATCCTAGAAACTCTTTCAGAAAGACTCCAAAACTGGCACACATGTAAATGAAAGAGGGATTGGTACTCTCATTTATAGTTCAACAGCTTGAGAGTGAAATGCACAGACAGCCAGCATAGAAAACACTATGGGTGCTGGGTATTTTTGGTTCCTGATGGCCACGAAATTACAGTTGAAATCAAACAAATTCTAGGTTACTCAGGTTTTCCAGATAAAGCGGGACAAATAGAGTGAGCCCACTGTGAATAATTACAAAGTCACCAAAATGCATCTTTTTAACATAAAGGTGTATTTATACCACTGTGAACCGGGGTAAAATCAAGCAGCGGGCCTGAATTTCATTATAATATGCCCAAGAAAAAACCTTCAAAGGAACTGATTCCTTTTGAATCATACTGTGAACTCCTTTCAGTAGCAGATTGTGTGCTGCTGACTTCAGCCAAACCGCTGAGGTGATGGTTTTCTGTTCTCACAAGCGCCTTTCTTTAATGCTCGGTCAATAGCACAGAAATCCATTTTGCCCCCGACAGTTTACCTGTGCTTTAAAGATTAATCCGTAATACGTGTCGGCCAGCTACCTGCCACCAGTCAGAGTTTGAAAGAAACTACTTCACAACTATGAAGGACTCTAAATCCTATCAAGACCTTTAATGTGTGCCTTTTTTTTTTTAAATGACACTGTGCACTATGTCCCCTTTGCAAACTCTGACACAGGTCTGGACCCAAAATAACCACCTTGGAAACAGCACATCAGTCTGCCCCTTTTGTAGGATTTATTGTTTTAAATAGCAGCAGTTCTACATTTTAATGAGAAGGAACAGGGTGTACCCTCAATCAACATGTGTGTATCAGTCTGTCTGTCTGCACGATGGCAGGCTGGTGGTCTTCAAAGAGGTGATCTTCAAGGCCTTTGAAGCATTTTCATGCACACTGTGGCCTTTTCACTCCCTATTTCATCTTTCCATCCCACAAGCATTTAACTGCAGCGAATCTCAGAACACACTGCTCTCTCAGTACAGCCTGTCCCTCTCATGCAGGAATAAAAAGGTATGAGGAGAAGGAACATGAAGTCAGGAGAAGCCACAGGTAGAGATTAATGCTTTCAAATCTGTAACTACAGTTCAAATGGAGGGAACAAGGAACACACTCACACACAAACATACACACTCACACATGCAACAGAATGACTGCTGTCATAGAATTTTGCCCATACGAGGTGATGTTTGACAGCGAGGACATCGAGCCAGTACTAGCTGTCGACAAGACCACGAGGTGTGACCAGCTAGTGGAGGGATCAGGTCTGCTAATGTGAGAAAGACAGCTGTCTCTGTGTGTGTTTTTGTGTGCGTGTGTTTGTGTTTGAGTGGCAGCCACTCTTGGTGAGCTTGTACAGCACCTCCAAAGACGCCACACTCAACTTTTTAGGAACACCATCACAGCTGATGAAGAAGGAAGATTTCAGGTCTAATTGTGGCCCTGGTGGTAAGATGCATCCTGCATGATTTAGGGAGACTGGGGCTTGTTGTCACACTTTTTACACTCTTCTATATTTCTTGCAATCAATACATCATATATAAACAAAATGTGCACCAGATGAAAGACCAAAGTCTCAGGTATATATTTCATATTCACGCCATTTTCATATCTTGTGTCAGTGCAGTTATAAGCACTCAAACAGAGAATATGAACACGTGACATGTTGCCCCATCATCAGGTAAGTTGTCTCTCTACATGGGGTAAGGTGTCACAGTGGATTTTGCAGCTAATAAAACAAGGACAAAATTATTGTTGTTCTCATTCTTTTACTTGAAAGTAAACATCAAAGTCAGACACAGAAAATGTTTATCATTGAGTTAGAAAAAGTCATCAAACATAGACACTGAACAAATGTTAACATAAACTATCATGCAACATGCTCTGGAGTTTGGAGAGCTGTCTGACTCTGTATTTTGGCTGGGGTGAATGTTTTGCAGTACCAAGCCAAGGTATGGTAGTTGACATGAAAGTCCATTATTGTACTCCAGATTGATTTATTATCTAGGGTCACCTGTCTGACTACCCTCAGCATCATGTCAGGAACTGCACTGTCGTGTTCTGTTTTTCTTTTTAACCCCTGACCATGTCTTCTCGCTCTCTCCTCTCCTTTAAACCACTCTTTTCTCTATAAAATAAAATAAATATTTCATTATGACAACTGCTGATAAGCAGACTCTCTATGTTCATTTTAATGCCTTTTAAACATGTGACAACTAACCCCAAAATGACTGAGACGTGTTGGCCCAAACTCTAGCTTAAAGTTATCTTAAAACAGAGCAATGACTGAAGTATGACAGAATGCCTTAATCTCTCCTCTAATAAGTCTACATGAATCACTGCTAGGATTTTTATCCGAAAGAAGGTTATTTAAAAATATATCAAGTACAAATTTTTACTTTGGGTTGTGCGAAATGGTTAATCTGCGCTCATCTCAGCTCACAATGTTCTCTTCTCAGACAGGACACGACCCCTGACCATGTAAAGGAAGAAAACTAGTATTACACTTTTTAGTTGCGCCCTCTGGTGGCAAAGATACTTGCAATGTGACAGCTCACCCATGTGACAACATGCCCCGGTCTCCTCTACTCTCAGGTGGTCAGCTCTGAGAAGAACGAACCTGTACCACTCTAACTGTTTTAGCACCCTTCTGCTGTGGTACCAAACATATAGAGATTGTACTGAGTTATTTCTCCTCAGTGTTCTGAATGGTCCAATATGTTAACATCATGTCAAAGGTTATGAGCCCCAGGGTAGAGTACAGTCTGCTGTGGAAACACAACCAAGATCAGACTCTATCACTTATCACCATCGCCAAATGTAAAGTTTTATATTCAAAACTGTTCATCATAAAGAGAACATCTTAAGACCAGGTGTGATCAGGACAAAAGAGACATTAAAACTACTGAAAACCAACATTCATATTCTGTTAGAGCTCAGAGTGAGTCGGGGTTAACGGTATTTACAGGAAATAGAAATTATATTCATCTCACAGCTTCATGTTGGATAGTTTAGATGCATTAAAGAACTGCAGCGGCTCCTCTGAGGAACTAATTTACACTGGACTGACAAAAGAAGCACACAAGGGAAAAATATGCTGATACAAATGCTAGTTCTTTACAGGCTCACAAATGAAGTGAGTTTTATTTATACACAGAATTGACATCATAATTTCAAACTCATGTTAACTCATTCAGGCAAAGAAAACACATTTAAGGTTTAATACTTGAAGCAAAGAAGCTCGGCTGCACACTGCATGGTACAGTCAATAACTGACACAAATGCAGTGTACAGAATAAACTCTCCAGACGAAACTTGTCCTCAGTCAGATACAGCCTTGTCTAAGCAAGTGCTTGAAAATTTTCTCACTCAATGGCATCATTCATACTCTCTAGTGTGGGTTTTTCTTACATGGCTTTAAGCTATGCTTGACAGCAACAACGGCACATAACTTTTAACCTTGGCCTCTTCTCAGTTTGAATGGCTACTGTTAAGTAAGGCGTTATGGAGTTGCAGTAGATGCACTATAAAAGTGTTGGACTTCCACTGAAAAAGTTTTAGGATCTACTGCGAAAGAGTTACATATTAAAGTTTCATTTCAATACAGTTTCAAATAGGGTGAAGAATTGCTGTTGTTGCCCCTGTCAGCCTACCTAAAGATTCTGCTTTTCACACAAACAAAGGGAGCAGAATGATGCACAGCTCACACTCAGACGGTGTGTAACATCAGGCAGCTTATTTTTGTAGTCTGCAGCTGATACGATCTGAAACAGGCAGACAATTGGAAGTAGAACAAACAAAAAAACAAAAAAAACAAAATAAAGAAGGATCAGACGTACAACCCTTGTTCAAAACCTGAATAAACTCATGAGACAGATTGCTACAATGAGGATAGGCCCGGGAACACATAACATGTTGGCAACTACACAGAGCAAATATATCCACAGACAATCAGGAGATATGGAGACACAGACCGATCTACTTTATCATTTCCTTGAAGTAATAATCATCATCTTAATCATTTTGCACTGCAGACGTGGTAGTTCTTCGGCCTCAGCGTCTCAGTCTGATTGCATTTCCATAAAGTAATGATCATAAATGTTCTTCCTTGAGCTGCAGAACTCTGCTGCACTTGGTGATCGACTCGTCGGAGGTCTCGCTACAAACAAGCGGCTGCTGGAAGAGAGTGGATGAGTTGTGTTTAGTCTCTTTGCTAAAGAAATCAGGCAAAGCTAAAAATATGTTTGATGGCTAGTACTATGGCTGGGACCCTATATGTACTGTTGATGAAGTTAGGTGCTGTTCTGAGCATTATTTGTGGCTATAGCGTGGCTTTTTGGTTGAGGTCTGTGTGTGGCTCCTTAGACCGCTGTGTATTGCTATCGTGTGATCGTTACTAAAGTTGGTATAACTGGAGAAGCAAGCGGTTGGCAACCTTCATCTCTCGAGGGGGTGTCTAACTTGATGTTACAGTGTGTTTGACCCCAAATTAATTTTAGGCCGGAAAATGAGATACAGGAAACACGAGGACCAGGATCCAGTCCCCCAGAGACAAGGGGAAGTTGAAAATCCAACAGAAGTGAACTGAAAGAAAACAGAAAAATGACCTTGAGTAACTCAGTGGGGTGTGTGGGTGTGTGTGTAAGTGAAAATCAAAGATGAAAAGTGGACTCTGTGGGAATATTAAATAATGAGTGTAGAGCTGGTGTGTGTAACCAAGTTTGACAAAGATCTTGACCATCGTATTTTCTGTCATCATGTTTCTGAGTCACTGTGTGAGTGTTTTCACATGAACAGGTGACTCACCAACACTTGGTGTGATTCAGTGTTCCAGCATGACTGTTTGTAAGATACTGGCGATGCATCAGTTCCATGTTCCTCATCTTCATGTTACAGCCTAAGAATAACAGATGAGCCAACTGATTATTGATTCTGCTCATGATGGTATTTACACGACCAGAAAGAAAGTGCTTCCTATGACTAATCACCAAAACGTTGAGCAGTGACAAGGATTATGGTACTTAGAAATAACCAAAGACAGTTTTTCAGAAGCTTAAAAGAGTCAGAAATTGGCGTGGTAGTCCGAACTTGAATCTGTCTTTTCGGGTATGAAAGTCTCACATCCTGTAGATGCGACTGTGTTTTCAAAAAGTTTATAGTCCTCCCACGTCACTGAGGAGGCAAACATCCAAACTTTAGAGCAATGCCTGCAGCATCATCTTTCTCTTCTCTATCCATTTAACTTTCTTGACCTTGTTCCAAATATTCTCAGTTTGTGTGTAAAGTTTTGCCGGATATTTCAGTTTTGTTTTTGTCAAAATCTCATCCATCAGCCAATTAAGCACATGCATTGTTTCTGATTTGCTGGAAAACTTATTTCCTGCTCTCTGCTTGGTAACAAAAGGTATGTTTGGCTGGCTCATTTTTCATACTTATGCAAATGAATGTTAAGGTTGCTAACAGTATGATGACCTCAGTTAAGAATATTGTGTAATAAATTGTGATGAACATATTCAGGGCATGCAGACAGAAGAGAAATGGAATATGCATGAGAGAAGCTTCTGTAGGTGTTAAGATGTTGTTTTCTTCCACCGTTCAATGTTTACACAGTCTCCACTCTGGTCCGGACTGTGCTATCAGGGGTTCAATACCCAGAAGTCCACATCTTGACGTATCCTTGGGCAAGACTGGGAACCCCCTTCCTGCCTCTGAGGCATGGCCTTCAAGTGTGTGAATGCTTTAAGTCATGACTGGCCTTGCAAGCCAAAGCTGTTTCTATGCAGAAGTGCATGAAAATGGCACAGGAGCAAAACATGACTGATTATTTAAATCTCAGCTCATGCGAACAGGGACAGCTCTGTGTACTTGACATCAATGTAATATAAATGTAAATGTTTATTCACAGATTTTTGATGCTGGATCACGTGATTGCATTCTCCAGTACTGTGTTAAGAGTGTGGGGCAGTACGTGTGAGGATGTGCATCAGAGTGAGTGCGCAGGATGGAGAGCTTGGTGTCCATCTAGACTGGAGATTTTTGCCCGTGAAGGGCTGCAGTAAAGTTTGCATGTGTGCAGGAAGAATGGAGCTATTTTTGTGAAGAAACAAATTTCAAATTTGTTAATAAACCCCCCAAATCAAAGATTATTTATTTTGATTTGATATATTTATTCACACATAGTAAGGCAATTAATGAATGTCTGTGGTGATTAATGGCAAACTACACTAAGTAAACATTTTCAGGATAACAAAACCACCAAAATAGGATAAATATCAGAGTTTACTTATGAATATTAAGTTGAAAAAGAAAAAAAAACTCTCGAATTAAAACAAATATACTTAAGAAAACAAGAATAGCAAACAATCTCTTACAGTGATCATTTTCACATATTTTGTTGATGACAGCAAAAAGTTTCCAAGTCTTTTTTGAACTAATCAAGTGAATATATTCATCCTATAATGAGACACCTCAGTATTTCACTGAAAACTAATGAAGGTTTGCTCTGCAGAGGAGGATGAAGTTTTTAGCCTGTTTGTTTGACTGAGTGTGAAATGAAGAATAACTAGCTGAGTAATATTTAAAGCAATGTCGTAAACTTGAGACATGAAGACAGATGAACATTAACGTCATTAACTAACAAATCTCATTGTGAATATCCCTGAATATCCTACACTTTGCAGCAGTTTGAGTCTCTGGCAGCAGGAATAAAGTTGATGTTGCCCCCTTTGCTCATCAGTTAGGCCTACTAGAGATGGGATTTATCGCTCTTTGAAGGGAGCCGGATCTTGAGCCGTCCAAAAACCTGGCTCAGTGTTAAATTTACTAATTTTTTAGAAGCCAACCAGGGTTACACATGGGTGGGAGTTATTAAAAATATTGATTTTAATTTCATTTAGCTTGTGTTTTCATTGTAAACATTCTATAGGGTGGTGCTATAGCCCCACGCTTTGACAGTGGGATCCTTCACCTAAAAAACTTTGTGGCACAATAAAAACTACACAGGCTACATAACTGATAAAAATTAAGACATGATAAAAATGTGAATGCAAAATTATACTACCCTACCTGGCGTTTGGAGCGCACAAGCGACATGTCAAGGCAGCTTGAGCAATTTCATATGAAAACAACTCACAAACGAATGGCTCGCCAGTGTGATCCAGTTCTCATTGTTTACTTCAAAGAGACGTTCAAACTACTGACTTGCTTGCGAATGTCTCATTTCTATCAGATACCAATCCCTGCTTTATGATAGTTTGGTATTAAATTATATGAAGTTGGTTCGCTGATTACTACAAGATCAATAGTTATTCCTTCATTTTCCAGTTTTGTAAATGGTTATTGCTTAATTCATCAGCTTGATTCAATAATATGTGTTGCCAAACTTCAGGGGGATAAATCAAAATGGAGATACACTCTGCTTCTTCAAAACTTCCTCAGCAGCAGCAGCAGCAGCAGCAGCCTGCGGTTACCAATTCTCTGGCTCTAGTCAAATTTCATTTAGGCTTTTGCTCAATAAGACCTGTAAAATGAGTGTGAAGTGGCAGCAGCGGTGGATTTAAGGCAGTGTAAAGTAATAATCCCTCTTGGGTGGAGGCTATCAGAGGTCCTGATGACTCCAAATGGAAATGACTGAATGTCCCCCCCACTATTCCCCTGAACAGAACTTAATGAAAATGGATTTTTATCTGAGTGACTCTCTGTCTTCGCTCTCTTCTTTCCTCTCTTGCTGCACATTTACCAGGGCTGATTAGAGCTGCAGACTGTGGACGGGTTTAGGATATGGCCTTCCCTTCATTCATGAGGAAAATGACAGATAAAAGATAGTTAAAGGCATTGTTTTCCGATCAATTTATCTGCAGCTGGAGAGTGCAGAATGAAAGGGAAAAATTATACCAGCAGACCCTCTATCACTGCCAGATATGGTGTATAAATTATATATACATTTTAATATGTTTCTATCAAACAGACTGTGAACACAGAGACTTGAGCAGCATTCAGATAGTACAGCAAAAGTGTTTTTTTTTTCCCTGAGGGCTGAGATAAAACTTTAGCTTTAAATAAGAGAAAATCCTTCAAAAGTACCAGCGTCATAAACAGTGTCACTTGTTTATGAAAATAGAAGCTGGTTTGAAACTTGATGTAGAGGGTCCTCTTATCTTTTGGGAAAGGTAATGAGACACTGTCCACTTTTACCTTGAAAGTTCACCTGCACCTACTCTGTTTGTGCTCCTGTCTGGCAGTAATACAGAAGCAAGACAAACAAATCTGGTTTTCCATGTTCTTTATATGTCCCAAAATATTATTTCTCCTGTGTTCATGCCTTGAAAAGCAAAAGGGACTGGTGGACTAAGTTTGCTTTCATGCTTTGTTTCCTTTAATCTGATCAATATTTGCAGTGGACATCTGGTTCTATAAAAAGAAAACACAAAACTACAAATACAGAGAACACAAAATGGTCAATATGTTCTACAGTGTAACACTTAAAGGGATATTCCGGCATAAAATTAATTTAGGGTCAAACACACCGTAACACCAAGTCAGACACCCCCTCGAGAGAGGTTATAGCAACTTCAGCAACGACCGCATGATAGCAATACACAGCGGTCTCCTGAGCCACACACAAACTTCAACCAAAAAGCCACTCTGTAGCCACAAATAATGCTCAGAACAGCACCTAACTTCATCAACAGGACATATACAGTAGGGTCCCAGCCATAGTACTAGCCAGCAAACATATTTTTAGCTTTACCTAATTTCCTTAGCAAAGAGACTAAACACAACTCACCTACTCTCTTCCAGCAGCCCCTTTTTGTAGTGAGCCCTTGGGCCAATCTATTACAGACTACAGCGGAGTTTCGCAGCTGTATTGCTATCTGCGGTCATTACTAAAGTTGGTATAACTAGAGAAGTAAGCGGTCAGCAAAATTCATCTCTCGATGGGGTATCTAACTTGGTGTTATGGTGTGTTTGACCCAAAATTAATTTTACGCCGGAATATCCCTTTAAGTGTTGTATGCTGTAGAACATAGTGACCATTTTGTGTACTCTGTATTTGTAGTTTTGTGTTTTATTATAGTTTACTCATCGTCAGGATCCAGTAGGCATCTTAGTTTGCATGAAACTCACTCGAAAGGTAGAGGGCACTTGGTTTTAGCTTGATGTACCATGAAGACACAAACCGGACTACTGTTCATGTGATTTCCTCTGCAAAACCGCTAGAGAGAGATTTATATTGTTTTTTTTACAAACGCATCCAAGGGTGCTCTCGGATCCTTTTGTTCTTGACATGAGGGCACCAGGGGGCGATCTACTGTTCTCTGAGTGTCTTGATGTCTTCTGTCAATACAGAAACACCCCATGCTCACCTGTCTTGTTAGAGGAGTAGTCAAGGCTGATGATCCTCAAATTCTCTAATTGTTACCATCCAAAAGATCTATCAATAGAAACTCTTTTGAGCACAACATTTATTCCTACAGGAGTACATGGTCAGTACCTATTTTGTGCACAAGGCTGTAAACATTACAGCCTGTCTGTCAATGTCTGCTCTAAAAGTCTGCACTGAAACAGATCTCTTCAATCCAGAGCAGTCAGTCACTATGGAATAATGGGTACATACGCATTTCTCCAACAGACTTGAGGTTATTTTGAGTTACAGTTACATTCTCACTGTAATAGATAACTGAAATTTATCTGTGAAAGACTGTGAAAGCAGCAGGTGTGAAAACCAAGCCTCTGTGTCATTATGATCTGCTGCAGGGTGTAGTTCATCGATAGGAGCTGTGAACGCCTCATTTAAAATGCTAATGCAATGACACACTAATGAATCCTCAGATGTACACAAAGTTTTGACTTTGTATTCATGACGCATCGTCACGGAGA